TTTTAGAAAGCGACTGCTGTTTGATTAAATCCGTCTTTTACGTCACTGACACAAGACAGACACCAATTATCAGCGCCGGAGAAGACATCGTGAACACTTCTCTGGCCATCCCGTGTAGATATCAGTGAAACTGTTGGGAAGACAACGTTGGAGAAACGTAAACATTTTATTTGTACTGTATAACCTGCAGATTCTGACAGAAATCTGCAGCTATCCTTTGAAGCACTGCTCCTCTAAAACAGCAATAAGGATCATTATTAGGTTATCTACAGTATTATGTAAATAACAAAATAACTTAAAGCAAAAATTGGGAAACATCAAGTCTGAAGTCTTTATATTAAGGGCCATCAGTCAAACAATACTGTTTGCTCTGGGTCCAAACAGAGCGCGTTGTGTGTGACGTCTTGTTTTGCGCATGCGGGCCGCTTTGAGCGTTCACACTAGAGCGCGTTTGCTGTCGCATTTTATTTGTAGTGTGAACAAGCAGACAAAAAAATCGGATTTGATCAAAAAATCGGAATTGAGCATTAAGACCTGCAGTGTGAACGTAGCCTTAGAAAAAAAACATGCCACTGTAACGAAACTTGTTAAAAATTCAATAAAATTTGATCTATCCAGAAGATAATGAGTACTTTTACTTTACTTACAGGCATGCTGAGGTCCTTTACCTGAGTAAAGCATTTGAATGAGATACAGTGAGGTTTTTTTTACCCAAACCACAGGTGTCATAATGAGCTGCAGCTATCAGCTCCTTTGGTGCCTCTGAAAATTTATTGGATTAGTGAAGTCCTGAATCACAGGTGGCACGGTGGTTAGCACTGTTGCCGCAATTGAGTTCAATTCCAACATCAGGCCGGGGTCTTTCTGTGTGGAGTTTCCATGTTCTCCCCGTGTTTGCGTGGGTTCTCTCCGGGTACTCCGGCTTCCTCCCACTGTCCAAAGACATCAGAATCAGAATACTTTATTAATCCCGAAGGAAATTAGGGTTACAGCAGTAAGTGCGCATGCGCACTTACAAAGGAACCTTCTGACCAACTTAACACAAACATCACATTGGGGAGACACGTCAGAAAGGTAGGCTGATAGGGAAAAAAAACAACGAAAATACATAACATGAGGTAAGAGGAGGAGGAGAGAGGTAAGACATGCAGCTTGTGGGGATAGGTTAATTGGATAATCCAAAGTTGCCACTAGGTGTGAATGTGCGAGTGAATGTGAGTGTGAATGGTTGTCTGTCTCTGTGTGTTAGCCCTGCGACAGACTGGCGACCTGTCCAGGGTGTACCCCACCTTTCGCCCTATGACAGCTGGGATAGGTTCCAGCGCCCCCCACGACCAGAGACTGTAATCCGATTACTTTTTTCAAGTAACGAGTAAAGTAAGGGATTACTATTGCAAAAACGGTAATTAGATTACCGTTACTTTCCCGTAGGAACGCTGCGTTACTGCGTTACTAAAACCGGGATTTTTTTTGCGAGAATGTCTCATGACAGTGACGTAAGCAAGTGTGAAGTTCGTGACAACAGCTGTGTGCAGAGCAACAATGGATCGCCTGCGGGAGAGAGTATGAGCGTGCAGCGTTTAAAGTGTGGAAGTACTGACCTTACTTTGAGTTTGATTCCATAAAAAGTGACAAAAACATTAGCGTCCATTAGCATTGTGCGTGGGAAGAAAACTTCTTTTTACAGCAAAAAAACCCCCTAAACTTCCAAGCAAACACCGAGTAGCTACGACGTAATGGGAAACTCACAGAGAAACTCGCGGATTCTTTCACTGACCGCTGCAGCACACCTGCACCAGGGCAAACCTCCGCCTACCCAACTCCTGCTTTACAGGTGAAAATAGAGCAACAGGACCGCTGAGTCTTTGACTTTATTTATTTTCTGCTGTGTTTTACTTGCATCTATTTGAAAGAGTGAGTGCAAACACAAAAATATATATATATTTTATGTGCTGGGATGTGCAGAAAATAGGTTTAAATAGGTTTAAAACAAATTTCTTCCAGTCAGAGAATGTTGCATATAATTAAATGTTTGCTTGATGCATAAAGTTAAAAAATTAAAACTAATAAAACAAGTTTTAAAAAAGGACTTTTCCATTTGATTACTTTTTGTATGATGGATTATGCAGAAGAAGTAGAATTGGGCTGAAAGATCTATCGCTTTATCACCTATTCAGGTTGTAAATCGTGTTTTTAAAAAGTAACTAAGTAACTAAGTAATTAATTACTTTTGAAAATAAGTAATCAGTAAAGTAACGGGATTATTTTTGGGGGGAAGTAATCAGTAATTAGTTACTGATTACTTTTTCAAGTAACTTGACCAACACTGCCCACGACCCTGAAAAAGGATAAGCGGAAGCGAATGGATGGATGAATCACAGTGACGTTTCCCTGTGAAGGTGTATTTTTCCAGCAGGCCAGTTTTATATTTAGACATTATTTGCAGACAGCTAATTCTCCAGTGGACCTCCGTGATGACACCAGCTGTGGTTCCTGGATGATTTATGGAGCAACTGGGAAGCTTCTGTATTATTTTACAGAATTCAAATAAGCTAGTGTCAACAATACCTGCTATTCAGTCAAAGTCCATAAACATCTGCTCCAATTTCATAAACTTGAGCAAGGTATTGGAACCCAACCATCTATTGGGGATGGCAGTGAACAGGGTATATTTAAATGCTTTGGTGTTTCAGTAGTCAAAATTCTCCAAAACACGATCTGCTGACAAAATCTTGTGGACATTTTGAACTCAACATCAGTTTTCTGTGTTTCATTTCATTTTGCAATCATGCAAATCCCTAATTTTAGTTAAAAGAGTTATTTTACTGCTCCATAGTCACAAACTGGATGGGTTTTTAGGGGAAACTAGAGGACATGTGGCCGCATGTGAGCCCCATTAACCTACAATATACATGATTATTCATCCCCTGTTTAGCAGGTGGTGGAGCCTGAGGAGCGAGGCTGGAAAATCCAGTTTTCATATTTTCATGATGTTTAACTATCTAGACTGTTTTGATGAGATTTGCCTAGTTTGGTAGATATTAGCTGTAGAAATGTCTGTCTTCTGTGAAATATAATTGAATTAAATGACACTCATTTTGTGAAGCTCAAACCGGTAAAAGAAAAAGTTGCTTTCTGTGCTTCCTTCTAAGGTATTTTATACACATTACACTTTACTAAATACTTTAAATTGTTGTAGTTTTGTAACAGTAACTGTCATCTGTACTTTTGTTGTACATCATAATGAATATTAAAGGTGCAAAACACCGAAATTCGTTATGCAACAGCATGTTTAACCATTAGGTTTACAGTGCAGATTTCTTCTTTTTCTTCTTCTCGCTCCTTTTAGGAGTCTGCACAGCAAATCATCTGCCTCCATCTCCCCCTGTCCCTACCATCCTCCTCTGTCACACCAACCCTCTGCATGTCTTCTTCACATCCATCACTCTCCTCTTTTCCTCCTGCCTGGCAGCTCTGTCTTCAACATCCTTTATCCAATATATCCACTTTCCCCTCCTCTGCACACGTGCAAAGTATCTCAGCCTTGTCCCTCTAACTTTGTCTCCAGACTGCTCCACCTCAGCTCGACCTCTGATTAAGTCATTTCTAATCCTGTCAGTTCTGGTCACTTCCACTGTCTACAAACCATAAAACATACCAGCTCTCACTAGCATCTTGTAAACTTTCCCTTTCACTTTTGTTTCTTTACATCTGTCACAAATCACCCCTGTTCTTGATAATCCCAGTGTTTGATTTGGCAAAGATTTTAGGAGCACATTAGGACACTAGGAGTAGACTGGCTCGGGACCCCCACCTCCAGCAACCACGCTCCAACCTGTTGGGAAATACACAGTTTTCCTTTGCAAACAGTGTTTGCCACAATCAAAAAAACAGTTTCTGCCCAGAATGTTGACTTTAAATCACTTAATTAACTTTCCATGAAACGGTATAAAATGTTAAATGTTATGAAATCTGGTCAAATGAAATCCACCTGATGGGTTTGCATCCAGTTTATGCCAAGCATAAGTATTTGAATGAATTAACCTTTACATTTTTACATATTTCAGTTGCAGTTTACTCAAAATTATTGCTTTACGTTTACTGGGAGTGAAAATCAATTTTATTTTTGTGGAGGCGGGGAGTTGACAACTTGTCTCCAGGCCTCCGCGACTTTGGCATAAAATACGACACGAATGTTTGCTCAGACTTGGGTGAACTGATTTAAATTTGGCAATCAAACACTCTCAATTGCGCGCACCTGTGAAATTCTTTCAAAATCCTTTACAATATTATGTATATTATGTCAGTGAGGACTTTGCAAAATGCTTGCAGGCTAATTTTTAAAGTTTAAATGCCACAAAGTTCGTTTCCAGCTACTAAATTGTGAATAATTTCTGGTTTTCTTCATCTTCTTCGAAAGTAAACTGCATTTACAGCTCAATAGATTTCACACACTATTCTGTTTATCACAACAATAAGTGGAATGAACAATAAGAAAGGTCAGCCACCACCTTGAGCAATTCACTCTAAGGGCTTAAACCCCCCAGATTTACAGATATAGTGCTGTGCCACTGTATCTATTAGTAATGTGGAATTAAAGGCTGTGCCCAGAATACTCATGATAAAAGAAAAAGGAAACATCTGGTTTCACCCTCTGTGGTGAATTTTTACCATGAAGTCTACATTTGATCATTCTGTGCTTAAACCTCTGTGCTTTGTACCAAAAGTTTCAAAAATGTGTGTAATTACATTATCTGAACCAAATGCTGTTAAAAGGTGCCGGACACACTCTTAGTGTTTAAAATCTTGAATCCCCCCTTTAACAGCCTCTCAGTGAGCTCACAGACGGTGAGAAATCAGTCAAGCCGCGCAGGCTGAATACAAAATGGGTTTTACACTTAATTCTAACTGGCACCAAATAGGTCTTAAAGAAGAGGCTTAAATCACCGCGTCATGGTGGATGTTGGGTTATAATCACTGCTGTTAATGTCTTGCCCCAGGAGCTCCAGTTCGAGCGGCTGACTCGGGAGCTGGAGGAGGAGCGGCAGATCGTGGCTAGCCAGCTGGAGAGGTGCATGCTGGGAGCCGAGTCACCAGAAGGAGACAGCAGCAGGTAGATTTGACTAAAGTGATCACATCAAGTATTTGGAAGATTTTTGCAATTAAAAACACACAGTATCTCATGACAAAAATACACATGACCACCTCTTATCGTTTGAGTTTTCCTTTCGACATTGGCTGCTTTTTCACCCTATTCAGCCCTTACTTGTATCTGACCATTTTCATTCAAATTATTTTAGTATTTGTGTGCCAAGAAAATTATTACCTAAGACCCATTAACTGACAAACATGGTACATCTATGTGCAGTGTATCCTTGAGTTTTTCTTTGGATGTTACTCAAGGACATGCAAGGACATTTTTTTTGTTGGACCCTAGTTTCTTCAGTGTAAGCATGTATAAATGGGTAAGAAGGATGTTAGCATTAATAAATACAGTGCAGTACTGTGAAAAAGTCCTGAGCCACCCTCATTTCTCGATCTTTTGTTAGAAAAGAAACACTTCTTTTGCCCTCCACTTGTCCAGTTCCCTAAAGGACAAACTGCAGAGCACGCTGAGATATGCAAGTTTTCAGGTAATAGCTTTTTGTGAATCACCTATTTTTGCATCTATTGGTTTCTATTTTATTTCTCTCAGCTTTGTTATCTTTGGCATTCTTCATAGATTCAAATAAAGAAAACAAAACAAATGATGTGATTTTGTGCAATATACAAACAAAAAAAGGTTCAGGTATTAGGACTGGACTGAAAATGAGTGTAAAAGCAGCCAATGTCCAAAGAAACAGTGTGAAAGAACTTCAGTAAGTCTAGAATTATTGCTCAACTTTAATTTAGCATACTTTCAAGGAACTCTGGCCCCTTGAAAGTATTTTTTTTTCATTAAATTTTTGTATCTGAAGCAAAACAGCCCTAATAATGCACCTATATTTGTTGTTGTTGTTATATGGATTCCAGCTGGCTGTAAATCACACCCAGCTCCAGAAAGCTCTGTCAAACCACATAATGGTGAAATCTGTCTTCATGAGGAGTGATGTTCAGCCAGCTGACAGTCACTTTGTGGTGTCACAGCCAGCATACATCACTCTGAGCACAAACAGAAACCTTGAAATCCACAAAACTGCTGAAATATTAAAGAAAACTTGACACTTTATGCATGACGTCTGTAACTGTTGGCATGATGACATTGTATATAATTTGGATTATTTCTTTATCTTGTCAAGATCCATGTCATGATTGTAAATTGTTTAAGCTGTACATTACTTTGTTTGGGTTTTGTAGTCAACGTTTTGGTGCTTTTATTTTGAAAGTCAAGTTCGCTTACAAGTTGCGCTAGTTTCCGCTTTGGGTAGA